ATGTGCAAACCAGTGGGTTTGACTGAGTCCCAACAAAACTGCTCACAAACTCAGGCCAGGGACCAGACCTCTGTGACTTCTGTTTGGGGGTGACACATGGGATGGGATGGGGGGACAGATAGACTCAGGGGCCGTGCTGTCCACTGCAGCTGCATATTCCTCCTCCCTCACTGGGTGCACCCCTGATAGGGCTCAGCTCAGCTCCAGGAGCAGCTGCAGGGCCCCTTGAGGCCGTGGGTGCCATGCTTGTCACAGGCCATGACCCCCAGGTGCCTTCCAGGGCCATGGGTCTTTGCTCCAGCGTGACAGGTGTGCGAGATTCCACTGTTGGGGGGACAGAAGCGTCCCCTCTGCCTTGACAAGTCCCAGGGCCGTAGCTCCTGTCAGTATGCAGGCCTGTGCGCTGCACACCCAGCCCCTCGTGCATGTGCTGGAGTGTCAGGCTGTCCACGGGTGCGTTTTCCTGGGGACCATGGCTTCATTCAGCGTTCTGTAAGACCTCGTTCGGGCCCAGGGATGGATCGCCTCCTTCCCCATCTGTCTTCAGGGCTGGGCCTACTACGACACAGCACAAACACAGCCCTGAAGCCCTGTTGATGAATGCGGAGCCGGGCATCTGTCTGCCCCATCTATTAAGCTGGTGTAATTTTTCATTACTGGGATGGCAGCTGATTCCTAGCACGTTAGTATATGGTGGCAATTACCAAAAGCAGCAGGGGCCCGTACTTTAGCAGGTACGTCAATACTCCTGCCAGGGGAGGCAGCGCAGCCCCTGGGTTCCGGAGTTCAAAGACCGGATTCCACTGTGACCTTGGGGGAAGACAGAGGAGAAGCTTGGGGTGCCTCCTCCCTTCTGGGGATCCACCTTCCCACAGGAGCTAGGTGGCCGGGCTTTGAAGCACAAGCCGAGCCTGTAAGGAGGAGGGAAGCGTTCGTCTCTCGCCAACTGCAGCTGGGATGTGGCCAGAGTTTGGATTGGCTTCGAGATGTTTATTTGCAGGGACTCCAGAGAACTGTCTGCCTTTGGTCCCGGCCCTGCTGGGCTCAGGGCATCGGCGTTTCACTGCTTTCAGTGCCAGGTGCCCGGCTGTTCAGACAGGTGCAGAAAGTGCAGGCTGGCTGCGAATGGATTGGATCAATCGTGTGTGTGACGGCTTAGCAAGGTGACTACCGTCAAGACAGTGCTTGGGAAAGCGCAACTGCGGTGGTGTTCCTTCCAGGAGTTTCTCATCTCGTTACTGACACATAGAGCTCCCTGTGAGTCTCAGAGTCGGGAGGCTGGCGGAAGGCATTGACTGAGCAGGCAGAAGAAGGGCCTGCAGGTGCAGGCAGATGCTGCGACACCTCCTGGCCCTGGCGCCTGCTCTCTGAGCACATCTGGATGCCCGGTCCTGAGCTTCGGGACATGTCGCATGGCTGTCAGCATGGACGCAGGGGGCATAAAGAGGGTGAAGGGTGGCCATTTGGCCCCACTTGGGGTGCTGCCCCAGCATCCTGCCATGGGCACCCTGGCAGGCAGCAGGAAGTGCCTTAGCCGTGAGGGAGACTGGCTTTCGTCGGGTTCAACCCACCTGCTATGGGCATTTGGTGAGCAAACTGGATCCATCTCTGTCTCTTTGCCTTTAAATATAACTTCCTGAACATTTGCTATGAAACCGATGAGCAGTTGGTTCTTGTCTGTAAGGTGCTAAGAGGCAGGGCTGAGCTGGCATCAGTGGGCAACTGTTCCTTGCTCTGGGCATCAGGGTCTTCTTTCTGCCCACCATCCTCTCCCATGGGGAATTAAGCAGACAAGCCCCACTGGCAGTGGACCTGCTGCCAGTCCTAGCATGTTGGCCACCACAGAGGTTCAACCCTACTGGAGAATTCTCTGAGACAAGATCTGAGGGGTCAGAACCCAGGGGTGCCCTGGGCTGACTCTCAGGGCCTTCGGGGAGCAGGCCACCAGCTGACACTGTGCTGCTGCCCCCTCACGACTCGCCTCTGCCTCCCCCATCTCTGCAGGTGTCGAGGTGCCAGCCTAGAAGGTGGCAGGTCCATTCCAGCTGTCACCATGGGGAGGGACATGTGGCTTGCCAATCAGCACTCCTTAGAGGCCTTCGCAGAGAGTGGGGTGGATCTGAGTGCCTGACCCCTGACTTCAGAGGCCAGGGAAACAGGAGGAAGGGGTGCAGGCTCTGGCTCAGAGTGAACAGGGCAGCTGCTTCTGGTGGTGGGCACCCTGGGTGATGCACGGAGTTTGCACACACGCCCCCAAAGACTTCTGCTCCCACAACCAGTAATGCCAAGGTCTGCCTTCAGCGGTTGTTGTTGGGAGTAAACAGGATCTCACACCTGGCGAGGCTCCCACTTGCTGAACATGCTCATGCTGTCACTGTGTTCTCCCTTCTCCAAACCATCCCGCCACCATCACAGCTGTCATCATCATCATTGTCACTACTGTCACCACCGTCATCATTATCATCACCACCATCACCACCATCATCACCATCATCACCATAACCACCACCATCATCACCATCATCACCATAACCACTACCACCATCATCATCACCATCATCACCATAACCATTATGACCATCATCATCACCACCATCACCACCATTAAAACATCACTGTTACCACCATCATTACCATAACAGCCATAACCATCACCATCACCACCATTATCACATAAGAACCATCACCATCACCACCATCACCATCATCATCATCATCACCACCATCATCATCATCATCACCACCATCATCATCACCATCATCACCATCATCATCATCACCATAACCATTATCACCATCATCATCACCATCATCACCATAACCGTCATCACCATCATCACCACCATCAAAACATCACTGTCACCACCATCATTACCATAACAACCATAACCATCACCATCACTATCACCACCATCACCATCATCATCACCATAACCATCATCATCATCATCACCATCATCATCACCACCATCATCATCATCACCACCATCATCATCACCACCATCACCATCATCATCATCATCATCACCATCATCATCATCATCATCACCATCATCATCATCACCATCACCACCATCATCACCATCATCACCATAACCACTACCACCATCATCATCACCATCATCACCATAACCATTATCACCATCATCATCACCATAACCATTATCACCATCATCATCACCATCACCACCATAAAAACATCACTGTCACCACCATCATTACCATAACAACCATAACCATCACCATCATCATCACCACCATTATCACATAAGAACCATCACCACCATCACCATCATCACCATCATAACCATTATCACCATCATCATCATCACCATCACCACCATCATCACCACCATCACCATCATCACCACTATCATCACCACCATTATCACATAACAACCATCACCATCATCACCATCATCATCATCATCACCATCATCACCATCACCATTGTTGCTTTGCATGACAGCACACCATCTCCCGAGGACCCCAGGGGAGTGTGCCGGTGCAGTTGGACAGGAGACTGAGCAGACAACCACTCGCCATGACTGTGCTGGCAGTGGACGGGCTCTCCCACTTCCCTCTGCCCACCAGGGAGAGGCTGGGATTAGGTACAGACATGGATCTGCCGGGCCCTCCATTGCTGGTGCGCCTCAGTGTGTCTCTGGGCCACAGCATTGTTTTCATCCCCACTGGCTGCATGGCTTGACAGCTCTGGGAGAGATGGGAAGCTGGCCTGCAAGTCTGTAGCACAGGTGTAGGGAAGGCCACTGGCCGAGCCAGCAGCGAGAGCTACCACTTAAAGGCCCGTTGTGACTGCTCCCAAGAGTGAGTCCCCACTGGCCTGGTGAGAAAGGAACCTGTGCGGTTCCTGTGTGTGCTGGTGCCCTGGGCTCAGTGGCCTGCCCTCTGAGGAGGGGCCGTCATCCCGCGGGGCGCGAGGTGGGAACCCCTCTCGGGGAGCATGACATCCCCGAGTGTTGGGAGGCCACACTTGCTTTCTGCTCATGCCAGCTTGTTCTCATACATCAGGCTTTCCCCCCACGAGCATCCTATTCAGCAGAGAGGTGACATCTGTGTGCGACACTGTGTCCTTGGGCGGCTGCCAGCAGTCTCCACTCTGAGGTCTGCTGCTTTGTAGCAGGCGCACACGGCAGCGTGCCCAGCAGCTGCCAGGTTGTCCAGGGCAGGGGCAGGGCCCAGGTGGGGCCTGGATCTCAGGCAACATGATCTCAGGAGGGTGGATCCTGAGAACTCTCCAGGGCTCCTCACCTCCCAGCTGCTCGGGGGGCGCAGCAGTCCCTGGGCCTCCCAGGTGGTTCTGACCATCCAGACAAATTTACCCAGGCTGTCCCCTGTGTCCAGGGCTCAGGAAGGATGGCTCTGGAAGAGGGGGCAGAAGTGGGAACTTTAGCCAGCCCACCTATGGTCAGCAGGGGGACAGAGGCGGGGACAGAGGAAGGGCCAAGGGCAGCACGTGCTCTGGCCGGCTCAGTCCTTCTGTGCCTGCTCGCTAGCCCCTCCAGGACTGGGACCCTCCTTTGTGGGGAGGGCAGAAGCACTGATGACTCTCAAGTCCCCACTAGTGACCCGAGGACCCTCTAGGGGCTCAAGAGTCTGTGCAACACCTCCCTCCTCCGCCATCCTCAGAAAGTTCTGGGCTCTCCTGGCTCCTCCTGGACCTGCTCTGCCCCTGCCCGCTGCCTCGCTGCTCACGGACCTGGAACAGAGGAGCTGAGCCCTCCAGACAGCAGGGGGAGGAAGGACAGGGAGACCGGCCCTCAGGATGCCTTAGCCAGAGCTCCTGGTGGCCAGAGAAGCTCGGCAGGTGCAGGAAGGACAACAGCTGGTCATGGGACCCTGGTGAGAATGACCTCTACCGTGCCACCAGCTGCGTGTGGGGAGACCCAAGTGTGCCCCTCGCTCCTGGGCTGGGCCGGAAGAGCGTGCCCCTCCCACGCCAGGCCCTGCTCACTGCGCCTCCCGCCTCTCCCCTGCAGGTCTGGCCGTGCACCAGATCGTCACGATCACCGTCTCGCTCATCATGGTCATCGCTGCTCTCATCACAACTCTTGTCTTAAAAAACTGGTAAGGCCTGGAACTGGGGGGTCCCTAGAGGTACCCCACACCAGCCCTGGGCACGGCCTCCTCACCTCGCCGTGGCCTCCCCGCACCACACCACACCATGCCACACCACACCACGCCACACCCATGCCACACCACACCACGCCAGGCAGCAGCTGCTCCCGGCTTCTCTGTGGGTCTGAGCGCCCCTCTGGCAGTCACCCCGAGAGCAGGCCTCTGTTTCAGTTTCCCTCTGGACTCTGCTGGCGAGGCAGGGCAGGTGGGAGCCTGTACTCACTCAGCGCCCTCTCTCTGCTGTCTCACTCCAGGGCCCTGTGTGTCTGCTCAACTAGGTTAGCGCCTTGCTCCAGGCAGCCAGTCTGTGCCACTTTTCTCTGGAAACCGGCCTACTTTGAGAGGCTGGCCTTGAGGGCTGTGCACCTGACCCGCGCCTGGGAAAATCGGGGAGATGTGGGGTGACCCTGTGCCTGCCTGCAGCCTCCCTCTAGCAACCACGGTTGCTGCCGACATCAAAGTGTCGACGCCTCCCGAGCTGGGAGAGCCATGCCTGTAGGCACTGGGTCCCTGCGGGGACAGGTGCGGGGACAGGTGCGGAGCCTGCGGCTGGCTGAGAAACACACAGCTGGGAGGGAGCGCACTGTGGGGCTCTGGCAGAGATGGGGGGAGCAGGGGCAGCCCCCCGGCAGGCCTGCCACCCCACGGTGAGGCCTCCCGGCCACCTCCTGGTTACAGCAAGCCGAGACTCCAGGTGGTTCCTGGAGGTGGTGACAAGGAGACCTTGGCAGCTCCTGGGGTGCTCACAGTGGCTCCCCACTCCAGACCCCTGCCCGTGCCCGCCTCATAAGGAACTGCTGGCCCAAGAGGCGGCCACCCTTGGGAGCCTTGCTGTGCTGGGTGCTTGCCTTCATGTTGAAGAGGGTGCAGTGAGCCCACAAAGAGGCCTGCTGGGAGTGGAGATGTCAGGAGTCCTGGCTGTCTGGCTTTGCCCCCCACTCCCCTGTTGTGAGTTGGGACCGCTCCTGTAGGAGTCTGGAGTTGCGAGCCAGCCCCCTCCCTGAGCGGGGCCCTGCAGTGAGCAGAAGCGAGGGGGAGGGGAGATGTACCCCTGTGGAGTGGGGGCTTAACTCCTCAGGCTAAAGTAGACCCCGCCCAGCTACCCACATGTCCATGAACTTGAGCTTGTCATCCAGGTAGTAGGGGAGGAGTCTCTGACGGCCAGCTGCTGAAGGTGGAATTCCGGTGGTGGCCCCTAGAAACCCCATGGACTCAGGCAGCTTCCTGTGCGTACTCTCCTGGGAAAGACGGGTTGGTCCAGGCTCATCGTGGACCAAGTGATCGTCTCCTCCTGGGGAAACCAAGTCACCACACGGCCACCAAGGCCTCTGCTTGGCTGCGCCTCAGCCCTGTCCTCCGTAACTCTGCCCACAATAACGGCTGCCGTTAAAACTGTCAAGTGGTTAAACAGAGCCTGGGAGCCACCGCCGGTGCTGGGTGGAATGCCTGGGCGTCCGGCGCAGGGCCTGCCCCCACCCTGCCCCCTGTCTCCCCAGCTGTGCCCAGAGCGGGCGCGCGCGTCGGAGCAGCCACCAGCGCAAGGTCAACCAGCAGGAAGAGAGCTGCCAGAACCTGACGGATTTCCCAGCGGCGCGCGTGCCCAGCACGGTGGACGTCTTCACGGCCTACAACGAGACCCTGCAGTGCTCGCATGAGTGTGTGCGGGCGCCCGTGCCCGTGTACACGGACGAGACGCTGCACTCGGCGGGGGAGTTCAAGTCCACGTTTAACGGAAACCGGTAAGCTCCCGTGGGCCAGAGCCAGGCTGAGGGTCACCAGAGGGCTCAGCGAAGCCAGGCAGCTCACCTGGCGGGAGGGACACAGTGGGTCAGTGAGCGCAGTGAGGGCAACGCGGATCCAGCAACCTGCATGGCCGCCGTGGCCGCGGGCAGCCCCTGCACCCCGGGTTCAAATGCCACGCAGTGCCGCCCCCGGTTCCTGAACACCAGCAGGTCCTCCCAGCGCCAGCATCGCTGAGCCCCTGGCCGGGAAGGATCTGCTGTGTCTGTCTGGCAAGAAAATGAGGTACCAGCCAGACCCGCAGAGCAGACGCGGCCCTGCCTGCGTGCTCAGCTCTGGGAGGCTCGTCCGGAATGGAAGGACCGAGAAGCTGGTTTTGCTTTTGTTTTGTTTTTCTAAGTGTGCAGGCATCATCCTCCAGCCCCCAGAAGCATCTTTGGGGAGGCCTCCAGGCTGCCTTGCGGCTCAGGGACCCCCGGAAGGGCCTGCCTGACCTGGGGCCCAGGTCTCCGTGAGGGTCACTCGCAGGGATGCTGGGGCCAGCTGTGTGTTCACATAGCTCTAGCCTGTGATCTGGAAGGGGAATGTTCCAGGCCAGGGCTTTGCTGACAGCAGGCATTTGGGAAGAGCCTAAACAGGGTCTCTCTGTTTCAAGTATGACAGAAATTAATCCATGTCAAAGGGAATGAAATGGCAAGTTTATTTCATCTCAAACATTGGTGACGCCCCAGCACAGCTTTCCTGTAACGCCCTGTGCTGCCCATATACCCCGCCCCTGCTAGGAGCTCACATCCGGGGACCACTGCAGGCGCCCAGAGGCCCTGTTCATCCGAGCCTGTCAGGAGGATGTTCAAGCCATCTGCTTGAGGGTGTGCACGGTGGTCCTCGGGGCTGGGGTGCTGGGGCAGGTGAGGTTGTGGCAGTGTGGGAATCCGGAACCTGGAAGTGGCCCAGGTGTGGGGGCCGGCCAGGCTCAAGCACCGGACAGCGAGGTCGTCCTGGGGGTGCAGGTCCCCTGTTCGTGGCCACCACAGCCCACCCAAGCGGAAGGGAGTGCTGGCGGGGTGGCGGGCTCTGCCTGCTCTTGGGGTGGGGGCCTTTTCCTCCCCGGCCTCACCCCAGGCACCCACGAGCCCACTTCTCTGCCCACCAGACCCTCCTCTTCTGACCGGCATCTCATTCCTGTGGCCTTCGTGTCTGAGAAATGGTTTGAAATCTCCTGCTGACTGCCCGCGTCTTCTTTACCTCCGGGGAGCAGGGCAGAGGCCGTGTCTCTGCTTCACGGTACGTACCACCTTTGGAGGCGAGAGTCCGCCCTCCCCGCCCCGCTTTCCCACACCCACGCGTGCGGACAAGGGGGCCCTGCTGGCCGAGTGACCCTTCGACCTTGCCCCAAGCCCCTGGCCTGGTGCGGGTGAGGAGCAGGTGCCCAGGATGCCCTGCACTGCTGGCCAGCGTGGGTGGGTCTGGACGGAGCGCCCGGCCAGCTCTGGGCCACCCTCGGGTGCCTCAGCAGGAAGCGCCGAGGCCAGGGATCCCACGCCCGTGTGACGGGGAGGGCGCCAGGCAGGATGAAGGCACAATTTGGAAATATAGAAAAAGATAAGAAAGGACATGAAGAGAAAGACCGTGAGGAGTTGAGACGTCTGCTAATTTGGAGCCGGGGACCGCTGCCGAGACAGGATGAGTTTTCCACGCTCTGCTAGACAGGAACATGCCATTGGCTCACGACAACATTAGCTCGAATGCTAACCCCAAATTGCTTTCTTCTGCTTCTGAATCCACTCGGCTGCCAGCGACAGCGCGTGTTCTCCACACCCACGGACAGCCGCGGCCGGGTCTGCTGGGCTTGGCTTCCTAACGTGGGAGTTCTCCGAGGACCTTCTCCAATGCAGATGAGCTCCGCCCTCCACCTTCCAGAATTTTCCTCCCTCGCTGCCATCAGCTCTCCCCGCCTCCCGAGGGAGCCCCACACCAGGCTGGGGTGCTGACCGCAGGGGACTCCTGCCCGCGTGTCTTGCTCACGCTCTTGGGCAGACACAGGCCTGGTGGGAGGTGGGCAGAGCGTAGGATCCTTCCTGCACACCCTTCCCGGCTGCCACACTCAGCTTGTGGCCTGTGGTGGTGTCGGGGGGGAGGGCATGCCGGCTACCCGTTTGAGGTTGGCAGGAACCAGCCGGTCCCTAATCCACCGCTAATGAATCGCGTGTTTGCTCCAAATCAAATCTGCAGCCTCATTTCCGGTCCCGGTGCCGAGCCATTCCTCCAGCAGGCACCGGAGAGCAGTTAGAGTCAGCTGGATCCCGAGCGGCCCGCTAGCCCTCTTCTGCCCAGGCTGTGTGGCCAAGACAGACAGAAGTGCACGGGGCATGGTGCCCCGGGAATGTGCCTGGCTGCCCCAAGCCCACTGGGCTCCTAGGGCAGGACAGCGGGATGCCCTGGAGTCCCAGCCACGCCTCCAAGCCCAGCAGCCCAGCTCCCTGTCAGCTACCTTGCAAAGCCCCCACAGCTCCCGGGGCCTGGCTGCCAGAACCTCTGCGGCCGTTGGCAAAGCCAGGACAGCAGCATTTGACCTGATTAGGGCTGGTGGCACCCTCAGGACTGGAGCCCCTCAACAGGGCCCCAGTGGGCTCCCAGGCGCAGACACCCCAGGGGCACACACGAACCTCCTGGGTCCTCGCAGACAGGGGCATGAAGCTTGGGGTGCTGGGTCGTCCTGGCGACAATCCCCAGGCTGCCTGGGCCTGGGGTGGCTTCGTGCTCTGCACTGGGCCTCTCTGCCACTCGCACAGAAGGTTCTGGATCAAGACGCTGTGTGGCAAACTCCCTGTTGCTCCTGCCCAGCCCTGAGGGAGAGGGCAGATGGGGAGTGGGGGTGAGGTCCAGCAGGCTCCGCACTGGACGACAGGACCCTGTACCCTTCCTGCACACCTCTGCCCAGGTTCTAGGACCTGGGCAGTGCCTCTGCACTCTGCCCCCAAGGGCTCTCCCTGCGACACCGAGGCCCCCAAAGACCCCACAGTCCTGCTCCCCCCACCTCTGCCCAGAGAGGCTGCCCTCCCCTCCCTGTGGCCTCCAGTGGGCTGTCTGGGGCTGTGAGAGCACCCAGGCCCACAGACCAGCCGGACTCGGCTGCCATGTCCGTGAACGCGCAGCTGGCTGCGCTTGGACAGGAGGACCAGGCCAGAAGCCTGGTTATGCCCTGCCACGTGCAGGGTGGCTCCATGGCTGTCCCGATGGAAGCGCTGGGTTCTGTGCGTCCCTAGATTCCTGCCAGCCTGGACCTCATGCCTGGGTGGACAGCAGGAAGATGCTGTTCACCAGGACTCATTGTCCATCTGGTGAAGGGCTGGACATGCTGTCCCGCCCCGCTGCCCGTGTCTCCAGGTGCATGTTTAATGGTGATGCAGCCATCGGTGTCTCAGTGGGGGTGGCTGGCTCACACACCCCTGCACACCCTTTTGGGATTTAGCCACAGTCAAGTCCACTGCCCTGCAGGTCGTGTCAGTGATGCCCGTGGCTCCTGAACAGGCAGGCAACCCGATTCCCTGGGCTTTGCCACTGGTGGGTCCCAGCCCCAGTTCCTGTCCCAACTGACCACCTGCTGCCTGGACCCAAGCAGCAGACCTGGAACATAGCAAAGCCACCTTTCTTGACCCGAGGAAGGGCCTTGGGCACTTGCTGGGCCTTGACTCATCGGCCATGGCCCCGCTACTCGCAGAGGATGCCCTGTGGTGCCCGAGCGTCATATCCACAGCCAGAGCACGTGAAAAGCCATGCTGTGAGGTCCAGCAGCACGCAACACCGCCGTCACACGCGCCTGTGCTGTCCCAGTCTGTCCTCAAAGCCACACGTGAAACAAGCGATGGGAGGAGGGCCCAGCCCTCTGGCAGCCACCCTCTCAGGGGCTCAGGCTCAAGGAGATGTTGGGGGAAGCAGCCCGCCATGGGTTGGAGGGGCCAGCGAACCACCCTGATGGAACCCCCCCGGCGGCCTTCCATGCCAGGTGTGCAGCCAGCAGAGTATCTCCAAGACCACTTGGCAGCCCCCACTTCTCCCAGTGTCCTAGCTCCAGGAGCCTCGAGTGGGCGCCTGCCTGCACCGGAGTTGGGGTGGGAGCAGAACCTGCCCCAGCCCCCTCCTGCAGCCGGCCTCGGCTCCTGGCTCCTTCTGCAGGCTCAAGGCCTCGGCTCCTGGCTCCTTCTGCAGGCTCAGGGCCTCAGCTCCTGGCTCCTTCTACAGGCGGCCTCAGCTCCTGGCTCCTTCTGCAGGCTCAAGGCCTCAGCTCCTGGCTCCTTCTGCAGGCTCAAGGCCTCGGCTCCTGGCTCCTTCTGCAGGCTCAGGGCCTCAGCTCCTGGCTCCTTCTGCAGGCAGCCTCAGCTCCCGGCTCCTTCTGCAGGCAGCCTCAGCTCCTGGCTTCGTCTACAGGCTCAGGGCCTCAGCTCCTGGCTCCTTCTGCAGGCAGCCTTGGCTCCTGGCTCCTTCTGCAGGCAGCCTCAGCTCCCGGCTCCGTCTGCAGGCAGTCTTGGCTCCCGGCTCATTCTGCAGGCTCGGGGCACAGATGCTAACCTTTGTAGCAGAACCTGTCTCAGCACTCCCCTGTGGGCGGAAGCTGAGCCTGTGCCTGGGAGGCCATGTGGCAGCCTCAGGGTCCTCCTGACACTGGGCCTCAGCCCTTCCCTGGAGCCGGCGTTGCTCCCAACGGGCGCGCTCAAGGTGCAGGTGGGAGCCATGTCTTTGAGCATCCTATCTGTTCCATCATGCTGGGGAGACCCACACTGTGGGTCTGGATGAGTTGCTTTCATTCCTTCCTGCAAGCTGCTGACGTAGGGGACACGGTGTCTGCCAGCCCTCCCTGGTGCCAGGCTCGTCCTTGACATCCGTCAACAGGCTGTGCCTGTGGGGGCCCTCTCGGGCTATGACGGCTCGGCTAGGAGACAGAGCTGTGCCTTGGGTCATGCCTCCTCCCTGAGCCTCACTCACCAGCTTCCTTCCCAGGCCAGGCCTGGAGCTGGAACCTGAGTGGGTGCCAGGTAACCTGGGCAAGGAGGCTGTGGAGCCTGCGGGGGCCGCCTGCCAGCTAGCCAGCACAACAGCTAGGCGTGTGGTCCTGGCAAAAAGCTGGACAGCCTCCAATGAGCTGACCTACCCCCATCCCTCAGGGGTCTGAGGTCAGAGAATCGCCTAGAACATAGAGGGGCAGAGGAGGAGAGGGGAGCCAGAGGAGAGGCAGGGGCCAGCCCAGAAGGATCTATGAGGCAGCATGAGCAGCAGGCAGGTGCTTCCCCGGGGAGTGTCCCCGGGGACACCTGGGCAGGTGCTCCTGATTCACCATGGTTGACACAGGCAGGCCAGGGCTGGCTCCCCCACCCCGGCATGAAAGCCCGAGAACGAAGGCAGCTCCGTTAATCAAGAAGCAGGGAGACAAAGGACACCCATTCAGACTGGAGACTGTCCTTGGCCACCGGACAGGTGGAGGGTCACCAGGCCCAGCCCTGAGCGCCTGGTGCATAAAGTTGACCGTGAGCACCGCTGCGCAGAAGCTCAGGTCAGACATGTGGCTGTGTGAGTGGAAGCCCCGTCCACCTCCATGTGTCCATGTCACCTGGCGTTGGCGTTCGTGTTGCTGATGTGACAGTGGACGGTGTGTGTCTCCACTGAGCCCACACCCCCAGCTGCTTCACTCCGTCCCCAGGTCATGGGATGTGTCCTTAGACCGGCCCTGCAAACACTCGGGGTAGACAGCAATGGTTCTGTCAGCTCCTGGGCTCGTGCAGCAGCTGGACCAGGCTGGGGCCCCCAAGATGCTGGCACCGGGCTTCCTCACCGGGCTCTCACAGAGCTGCCTCCTGGGTGCTGTGGGGAGCTGCCTGCTGGGGTGCCATGCGTCTGTCCTCTGTTACCCTGACTTGGGGAGGTGCCTCCTGGGTGCTGTGCCATGGGTCTGTCCTCTGTTACCCTGACTGCGGAGGACAACCTCAAGGAAGGACCCGTTCTTCTCCAGCAACTGGAGAAGAACCGACCGTGGCTTTGGGGGCTCTTGCCATGGGGGAGGTGCCAGGATCAAATAGAAGGAGTTCCTTGGGCACTGCCAACCTTCAGGTGCCTGTCTCTCAGTCCCCTCCCCGACGCCAGCCTGGGCTCCAGCTGCAGGAGAGGCGTTCCCACATACAGGGAGAAGCTGGCCAGTGATACTCACTGGGCAACTTCTAAAACCCACTCATAGGTCTCACCCAGCCGCCCTCTGGCTACAACTGCAGAGCTGGCCCTGGCAGTCAGCATTTCTGAAATATTACGGAGCCGGTGGGCTGCCCCCTACGTGGCCTCCTGGAGCTGCTGGCAAATGCCGGCACTCCAGCTGCCTGGCAACTGACCATGGCCACCGTGGCCAACGG